ACATTTGTCTACAATTTGCACAATAACTAAATGCACATGGCTTTTTGTTCAAAACTGATAAGTTGATTCTGAGTGAAACTGTCAAACTCTTCACAACTTCTAAACATTCTTTCTTAATCCAAGCCATCACATGCAAAAGCAAAATGATCCATGAGTTATCAAATATTTGTCAAACATGTAAATATCTGACGTGGAATGGTTGAAACGTCTGCTAAGTTGGCAAATGGGTTGCAAAGGGGCAGAACATTTCTGGTAGCTCAACTTTGGGGTGAGTTACTACATTTTACAGACATGCAATTCTACAAATTCAGTTCAGTTGTGACAACTGAACTTACAGTTGTTTTTCTCAATTGCTTTGGCTCATTTCTCGATTGAGACTTTTTTTTAAATCAAAACAATAATATCAGATCCCTGAACAAGTAGTCTCTTTTTCACATCAGACTTGAATTTCTTATTGATTTAAGCAAATTGCATATGTTTTGGCACATGTGTGCAAAAGAGTAAGTACAATTTTCAATAATTTGCACAATAACTAAAAGCATATGACTTGTCGATCAAACCTGATTAGCTGATTCTTAGTGAAACTGTCAATCTCTTCAAAACGTAAACATTCTTTCTTCGTGTGAGCCATTACATGCTAAATGATCCATTCATTTCTCAAAATCATGCATGTATATTCCCTGTGAATCAGAAAGTTTGTAATGTCAGCTATATTGGCCAATGGCCTGCCTTTGCAACAAAATACTAAATGCAATAATTCAGTTCAGTTGTGACAACTGAACTTACAGTTGTTTTTCTCAATTGCTTTGGCTCATTTCTCGATTGAGACTTTTTTTTAAATCAAAACAATAATATCAGATCCCTGAACAAGTAGTCTCTTTTTCACATCAGACTTGAATTTCTTATTGATTTAAGCAAATTGCATATGTTTTGGCACATGTGTGCAAAAGAGTAAGTACAATTTTCAATAATTTGCACAATAACTAAAAGCATATGACTTGTCGATCAAACCTGATTAGCTGATTCTTAGTGAAACTGTCAATCTCTTCAAAACGTAAACATTCTTTCTTCGTGTGAGCCATTACATGCTAAATGATCCATTCATTTCTCAAAATCATGCATGTATATTCCCTGTGAATCAGAAAGTTTGTAATGTGTCAGCTATATTGGACAATGGCCTGCCTTTGCAACAAAATACTAAATGCAATCAACCAATCAGCCAATCAAATTTTGGAAGCATATATATGGCGGCTGCCCACAGCACAATCACTAACATTTTTGAGAATGGAGGGCCGTCACAATCTTGAACAGCAGCAACAAGCACATGGAAGAGCAATAGCATGAGGATGTGTATAATGTGAGGTAGTGGTGTTAGGGGAAGACAGTATAGAGGGAGAGGTAGAATTAGAACACCTTGAGTCCCTGATGAAATCTGAGCCACACTTGTGGACCACATCATCAACCTTGGTCTTATAATCTAAACAGTTTC